TATTTTTGAGCACTTGGGTCAGTGGTTTTGGCAAAGAGTCCACCAAGCTGAAAAAAATCGCACATGCCAGTTTCCTCGAGGGCATGTCGCATCCTGATCTCTAACAATCATTCTTGATATAACTAAATTATCTCTGTCTTGAACACAGAAAGTTTTCGATTACATCCAGATCCGAACTGTTTGGGGGTGGGGGTGCGGGTGGGGATAACTGCATGAATTCAACTGGGGATCATACTGATCCAGAAACTGTACACGTGCAAAAAACAACATATAATGAATTTCAGTGAATTTCCATGATGATCCACGTATAAGATGTCACATTCAACTTCAACTAGGGGAAGTGTTTTTTTTTGTGAATGATTTGAGAGCATGTTAGTCATCGAAAACCTGCTGCATCAGTGCAACAAATTTAGCACTATCCAGAATAGTACTTTCTGGAGGCCAACAACACGACGCTCATTATTTCAGTGCTACTCAACTTACTTTTTATAACCGATAAAATAGAATCCTCTAGAAAACGATGACAACAGATCATTTCTCGGCCTGGTGTCATGCTCACCAACCGTGAAACATTCGTCAGTGAGATAAACCCAGCATCAGAAGGCCAGCCGATGCAATTTGTTGACCCTCTTTTGTTGGGTGTTTATGATGAAAGAATTTACATGTGCAGTTTATGGTCACATAATTTCTCGATTTCCTCGATTGCTGTCAATTTTCGTCTTTGTTTACACTACACCGCACGAGAAAGTTATGTTGTTTAGAATATTTGTATTGGCTAGAATAAACACTCTCCTGAAGCAGTTGTTGAAAACAAATGAACTTCCATCCTACTCTGTACCAAATCGTTTCTAATCCTGATCTGTGACTTTCGAACTGCTACAATTTTTTATTGGGATACTCAGGTTCGCGAGAATGATAATAGTGATTTGAGAGAATTAATTATTTGCGCTGCAGTGAGAGATAAAATTCGGAATAACTACTATACACCGGTAGCTACCGATATTCAAGCATGGTTTTGGAAACTGAAATACATCTCTAAGATGAGGGTCATGTCACACGAGTTCGATCAATAAATGTATCCTTGTTGCGTGACGTTTATAATAGTTAGTCAATGCGAACTCCTCGGAACGGATCACCCTTTTTTACAATTGATCTTGATGGCATTTCTGTGATTGCATCAGTGATCTCATAGACCTTACCTGCTAGCCACCTTCGCGAGACCGCCTGAACCATGAACGTCCTGGATACCAGAGGTTCCCGTGAGGATTCACGTGAATGTTTTACAAGGTAGTCTAAACACGTAAAACTTTTCAACTGTGAGTGAAACTCCAACGTGTGCACAACAAAGTGCGAATTCCAGCACAACAGGACTGATGCGGCAATTGAGACTTGTGCGTGTTGTTTACTGTGTTCGTTTATGCCCCCCCCCCCAAATCCCGGATTTGCTATCTTGACCTGTTATTGTTGATACCAATGTGTCACCACATACACCGTGAGGCTGATTCACTCTTTCATTGTCCATGATATATGCCATCCGAAGGGGATACCAATCGCACCGTATCTCGAGGAGCGGGAGAGGGAGTTAGGTTGGTCGGTGGATTGTGACATTGTTTTCTGTGACACGTTCCGTTGTCACATTTCTGTGCTATTATCCGTTCACAAGTATATCGAAATGAAGTGTGGGCAGAGACACATTCTCTCATCACAGTCCGTTCTCTCTCTCACGCGCCCTCACCCACTTCCATAACCTCAGTTTGCACATAATTTATTCCAATCTGTCACTACTTTTTCCTGGACATACATAGTTGGCCCGGGGTGTCTCACTCAGTGATTATGTTGGCACGTAATTGTCTCCAAACCAATTAATGTATCTTGATTTTGTGGTTGTGGTTAGCCTATTTGGATTGTGGACCTGTACGCCCGATAGCGCGCGCACGAGAGATAATGGTTTTAGCCACACACGGGGGGGTGGGGTGAATAGAAGGAGTTTGGGTCGCTCATTTAATCCGTGGCACTGATTACTGTTTAACCGAATACATTTTCAAGTGATGGAAATGTTTGTGATAACCGACGAAGAGCACTGGACAGCTGTTTTGTCCTGTTTGCGATTCGTCAGCAATGCGTACGTTTTGTGTCCCTGTTAGGACTCGAACCGCAAACGTTCGAGTTGGGACTTCAAACCCTTACCTCTGAGCTACACGGTCGCCAGTCATAACCCTGTGCTCAATCAAGTTAGATGGTGAATGTTTGGATTAATCGAAGAGTGTCTGGTACCTCTTAATAATCGAATGGGCTAATCCAAGCTTTCTACCGTAAAGAATACATTTTCCCTCTAAAATCCCCCTTGAGTGAACTCGCACACTTTCTAAATGCTTTAATGCACACTACTTCCTTTCACATATTGATCGCCTAAACAACACATTCTGATTCAACCTCGAAGTTACTGATTTGCTGGTTTTCTGTTGGTAGTAAACAATCTCTATCAACAAGAAGTGAAATCGATGTAAATCAAGGATATTTGCCTTGTAAGAAGGTACAATCGCCACATGTGTGGGCTAACTTCAACCGGCTAATCGTTACATATATCCTATATAAATGGCTCATCTCCACAAACTTTCAGAGGCACTGGACCATCTTCAGACTGGTGGTTGGACTTTTATATGTATTAATAAATTGTGTTCTATTATATCGTATATGAAAGGCCAGAAACTCCCGAGAATAAACTATGACTTAGACATTTTTCGGGACAACTTTGAGTCGCAATGTTGTCAATGAATTTGTATGTCATGGTCAACCTGTACCCGTAGATTCGTCACCCAGAATACCACCAGTTCGTGTGAGGAGTATTTTTGTATATTTTACCTTTTTCAAATAACGTATTGACAGGAGCGCAACGTAGTTTATAATCGAGAAACTTCTTCCAATCATAACCAAAGCATGCGCGAAGTCGACGTATTTTCGATGCCATTTATCACTCATGTCAGGTTCGACTTCTTACAGCTTCATAACCAGAATCAAAAGTAACTTTGGAATCCCCGGGGAAATGACGATTTACATCAATTTGGCCCCGAGGATATTTGTTTGTTTGGATGAATCTAATTTGTTGCAAAAAGCACGATTCGATTGCGTACAGTAGTCAGTTTTCATTTTTGGAAACTTCATACTGGTCAGCACTGGGCGAATCAATCCGCGATAGGAAATGTCAGTCAATAGTTTTATTGACCACAAGCCGATTCCCAACACGATTTTGCTGACACATTTTTGAACAACTATGCTAGTTGTTATGCTTATTGGCGTTTGTCACACGTGGTGTATCAGTAATCGGTAATTCCTGTGCGTTCTAGTGATTTGCATCGATAACGTTTAATTTCGTTTCTCACTGTTCATATGTACAAATCTGGGTTCCCCCTGGCTCTCTCTCACCCCAATGTAGATTGACTGTCCTTCGGTAAATCGATGTGTGGATCGGATTGGTGATCGATGATACATACATTCTTGTTTTTCATTAAAAATAAACATGTTTAAAATGCCCTGAGTTTCACTGAACTTTTTTGAACCACATTAACATACATTCAGTAAGATGCGCGACTTTGGAAATTCAAATTATTTAGAAAACTAAGACAGGGCATGACGTGTCACTTGACCCAGATGGGGAAAGGTCATATCAACTAACACGCTAAACATTCCTATGCACACACACACACACACCCATACACCTCCATTACTCTGCCTGTGATTAATGACCTTAAATTGAGCCAATGGTTATCATTATGTAAGAATTTTTTCCATTATGATATGTAAGAGCATGACTAGGAATATCCGAAAAAAATTGTTCGCTCACCGACTCGTTTTCTCAATGCTATCATGGGAATATTCAAGCTTTTGAAATTAAGGAAACAATAATTATCGTTCTTATTTAACTACCTGTACAGAATCTTTAATCGTATAACAGTTTCACTTTGCACAATTGTCACTCTATGCGTGGCCTTTGGTTACTGTCCTTCGACTACCCTTATTATTGTTATTATATTCCGCAGACGTCTGAGTTCAGACTGTGTGCCAAACAAATCACGGTGCAATTATCGTTATAACAAAGAAAGAGATTCATTATTTGACAATTGAGGGAATACTACTAAACTGCCAGGGCTAGAGAGCCAGTGAATTTTCTTGTGGAATTCAAAACCGGAGCCTATGACTAGTCAAAACCTGTTCAGTGAGGCAGTCATGCCATGTGTGAAAACCGCCAACCCCATGGGGCCGGCGTCTAGGTCATCAGATTATACACTCTTTGAACGGGGTCAAACGTTCAAGGTTTCCAAAGCATTTCTGTGCTCATTGGAGCTGGTGACCACTGTCAACCGAGAAAGTGTCTGTGATTCGTACGTCTTTTGGTTGGTTTGGGGTCAGGGTTTTTAGCTAACTCCCCTATGGGAACTGTCAGTGGTTCATCGTCCCGGTTATCGCCTTGGCTACTGGCTTTTCGTCCTCTCACTTTGAGGGGATAACGGGAAGTCTGTAACCAAGGCTTCCTCAAAAGAGGTTTTTTGAATCAAGTGGTCGTACAGTGTGACCAACCACAACCCAAGACAAACCTCCAATCCTGCTGGGGCTTTCGGTGATGGGCTACTCACCCAATCAGCCAATGAGGAAAGAATAAACTGAAAATTTATAACTTGAGAATCCTCACACAATTAGCTACCAGAAGTAACCAAACTAAATGTACGTAGAATGTGGGTAGGAAGTCAAATCGAGTCAAGTTAAGCTTTATGCACCCAATAGGATGAATTTTCAACACTGAAAGAAAAGAAGCTGATGATTGCTAGTGACATCAGTGGAAGTGCTCGATCAAACAAAGTTCTTTCTAGGTTTAAAAAGACACCGTTTTTTGCTTTGTTACTTCATAACTGACTTCAAACTTTACCTAGTTCCCATTGGATAAAACTGACTATACTCGAATCGTCTTAGTTTACCCTTATTGTGTGTTTCTAATCTCTTATTAGACACTGGTCGATGCCGGATGGATTTGTCACACCTCAGGAAATTCTTCTCATCCCTTCATATTCGGTTCTTACTTCTACACTCTACTGGCTCCGGATCTGAAGGGACACGGCACACAAGGCCATATGACAAGCACAGATGTTTTGTGTTCCGGTGTGGGAGCAGACGGATCTGAATGGGTGCTACCGTCCACTCCTTTGGTCTCGGGCTTATCCGTTGCACAGACCGGAACAAGTGGAGGTAAGTTTGTTTTTCTAGTCACTCCGCATTGCGCTGACGTGAGTTCCGTTCACCTAGATACTGTCTACATATCAATAGGTCTATAAGTGACCTTTCGATAATAATTACATCATTGATGTCTCTCGGTAATTCTACATCCGAGCACGTGACCTATGCTACTGAGTGCCTTTTATTGGTTTAAAAAATCTCAATCCCTGTATGAGCAGTGTCTATGGACTGAAAGATTTTACAAAAACGATAGATTTACCCGTTGTGGACATTTGGACTTATCGGAGCACCAGACGATATGCGAGCCAACTCACCGGAGGTCCGGGACGGGTGCAGATGATCATCCCGAATCTATCAACGATTCAACCTACTGGACTAAACACGTTTGTGTCTGGCTTATTATCTTTATCGATTATCCGAGGCCTGCATCACTGTGAACCTTGCGCTGGATGCCTGTCGATGGGCAGTGAACGGAATGAAAGAGATACGGTCGGGATTGGGGTGGGGTGCAAGAGCACAAAACAGCCGATACATGTCGGATTTTTTTCTTACATGTGGCTTTCGAAATAGTGACCGATCAATAATGAGACGACCTCGTGCCCACGCAAACAGTCAGTCGATCTGCTCGATCGACCAAGTCATGCTCACGGACTTCGTTCGATGTGCATGTACCGGTGCGAATCGATGCGCCTATCTGGGTGTACGTGCGTCCATCAACTTTTTCACATATGCGCTAAAAGTTCTCAGCCCACATTCCACGTGTACTCCACAATGTGGATTCAGCTTCAGCTCAGGCATGATGAATGGAATCATCATTGGACTTTGGTTTTGTTGTGATTGCATGGCGAGTACACAAACATCACGTGTTCATCCGGGCAAGCACACCCTTTGAGATGTGATGTGTATAGAACAGCCGGGTATATTTTGGAAACCGAAAAAATAGATTCCAACAAGCTCTCGACGAAAACGATTTGCCAGTTGATTTTAACCGAATGTTGGATTTGAAAATGACTGGCATTGTCTTGCGGTTTGTAGTTCTTGATGATTTGTCGACATGTGCATCGTTTTTTTTACTGAATCTTTGTTTTTATGCCGCTCGAGCAACAGAACAGTTGGATTTTCTTAAGTATCTAGACCATTAGGGTAATCTCAAAAATAGGACTGCAAAAATATTCCAAGTTTTGTCCACATCCGTTGGAGTGGTTATCATCGAACAAATGCGTTTACCGTATTGATCAGTGTCATGTCAACGTTCTGTTAAATTTTTTTCTTGAACTCTCCGCCTTCTAATTGTTTCCACTCATCTCACAACTACGAAAATCGGCACATCTCAAGGATTATCTGTTGTACAAAAGGCAAAATAAGTTCCCAGCTGATAGGTTTGTGCTCAAGTGGAGAAATAGAAGGACAGGTGGTAACTAGGCTGTGCATGTTACGCGGTTGTTTAGTGACTACGGTTACCGGATTTGAAAATAATAGTGTGGACCATTCTTGTAACTTCAAAAGACATGTCTTTGGTTTGAAGTGAATTTTCCTTTGAAATTGTGAAATTTTCAGAATAGTTTTTGAACGTTTCTCCTGAAGGATTTGATTAGCTGATCTGCTTCCTATCTCTCACCGGACTCGGTCAAACTCTTCTTATTTTCTCTATCGCTTACGATTGATGTGACTTTTGGTGTTTGTTTTTCCTCCACATGGGATTAGATATCCGGTTTGTGGATAAATTGTAATGTTTCCTTTAAATCAGTTCAACTAGCCAGACCAGACCGAATTTTCGGTTGATGGGAGATGAAAAATAATCATTGGGGTTGTCAAATTTACTTCCTTTCAAATTCAGCATTTCTGTGTATTAAACTGCAAACAGACTCATGGTAGTAGTTCATTCGGCCCAAACTCAAAGCTCCATATCTGATTAAATAACTACCGTATCTTCGATCGTGTTTTCTCTCCGCGTAGGATTTTTATATGTACATTAGGGAAATTAGTCGCATCTCTCCGTTTGCCGATTCGTTTTTTTCCTCATCTTGAGGTTGAAATGTTGCTAACCAAATCAGGCCATTCCTAAACCAATATTTTCCCCTCAAAAAATTGTTTTCCGCAACAGTCTAATCCGAACTATTTATCGTTGTATATCGTGTGAGCGTGTGTGTGTAGCAATGGAGGACCATCATCTGTGAGCAACCGAAACTGGTGTGGTGCGAGAAGAATTTTCAATCAGCATACGTTCATCCTATAGGGCGGTTGGAAACTGCTTTCTCTCTCCGAGACCGGACGCATCCGTAATCAGCAACTTTGTGCACTTCCCCAATATATCCGTCTCTGACTCCTGGATCTGGTCAGGTTAAACTTCTAAAGAGAAATCCAGTGAAGTGCTAGAGAACGAGTGAAATAGGCCTTAATCAGGCACATAGTGCGCAGATTAGCTTTCGAGTCAATTGACCGTCTTACCTGCGTAAACTGCTTATGCTTGTGCGCAGTTTTACAGGTACGGTCACGTGAGACCACAATCATTGCATGCTGTGTGTGTCTGGTTTACGAATTTGGCAGCACTCTGATCACTCTGGAACCAAATGGGACGTTTGTTTGGCTCTTCATACCCTCCTCTGTATCACGATCTCCATTACATCCCATGAAGTTAATCTATTTGTTCTTTATCAGCTCAATCGCTTTAATCAGTTATGCTTTGCTTCTCACTCTTCTCGTTCAGTGACATCTTTCTGGCAGTCAGATTCGAAATTTTTCAGTAAACTTGACAATTGAAATCTATCTGTAAAACCACTCGTGAATTCAACCCAGACCACGTTGAACCAAGAACACGACTGAGAGTTACTCCAATCGCCCAAACGAACATGATTAAACGAACAAAAAACCACTTAAAAGTGAACAAAAAAGCAAGAAGCTAATCAAGAAACCTCTTCTCATGTCCTTCAAGTCTTTTCGTGTCCGATAAAATGAAATCATCCAATCACGGAACAGCTCAGGCGGTAAATACTACTGTCTGAGGTTAGTTGTTTCTCTTTCTGATTGAATACAGTCTGTTCGTTGGGGGTTGATAGATAGTCAAGCCTATCTATTTTCAACATCTGTTTTCAATTTTTCCGTCTTTCGAGTCGTGCGTTTCAAACGAAATTTTCGGATTAAGAAGGTGAAATAGAAGAGGATGCCGGTTTGGCAAACCCTCCGTTGTACACACTTCGTTCCTGTCAGGTGTTTGACTGTCTGTCGTCTTTCTGTCTAGTACTTCGGGCTCTTGTGCCCACCAAAAAAATTGTTGTTCTTGTACATCCCCACTCACACGTGATAGGCGAGGAACACAACCAGATGAACAGGTAGCGGAAGCACTTTGTACGTTTGTTAGGTGAATTAGATGTTTCACAATTCCCTGTTCGAACATGTGTTAAAATTTTATTTATTTTTATTTCCTTGCAGACCACTTGTCCTCTTTTATTCCCCACCGGTTAGTGACAGTACTCACAAACCCATTTAAATCAACTCAGAAGTGATTGTAAAGGCTTGTCAACTGCATCTCGAATAGGGCCTATCGACTAAGGAGTTGCAATTGCACACTTACAAATAAGATGGTGCTGATGATTCTGTCACTCTTTTCAGTTCGTATTGCTTCGTACGGATCATGCTAGTGTCGTGAGATACTACCCACATTTGTGAGTAGTATCCTATATAATTCGGTTGGCAGTATCCTTCAATGGTAAAAAATTAACAAGGCCACTGAGGGAGAATTTCTGTGCCCCAAAGAATAACTGCGGACTGCTCCATTCATTACATGGTATGTTGCCGGGAATCGCGATGACATGTTTCAAATGAGATATCTGTTAAATCTGTGCCAAATTAGTGATATCCCAACTGTAATCTGCGATAAACAACTACCCTAGACCAGGCACTGGTTTGTGGAATTATAATACTAGCACAACTCAAATCTTTCCTCTTCCCGAAAGTGGTTTATTGTATTCTCTTTTCCTTTAATCCTTTCATTCAATTCGGCCATCTCCTGCAGTATGATGCTTCATTCAAAACTCTATCATTTGCATTTTCGAATCCTTCTCTCTCTCTCTCTCTCAAACCTCGGATCTGTCCATCAAGACATGCAACACCTTGGTCAGTTTCGCCCTGCTTTTTAATCTTTTCTTCCAACTTGATTATTACGTGGCTGGTATTTTTCCCACTTCCTGTATGGAATCAGTTTGTTATTGTCAGAGGATTTTTATGCTCTCAACTGGAAACGGCCGTTCATCTTTCCCCTCCCTCTCTCTGGATTCACAATGTGCGCATTTGCCAGCTGAACAGTCTCGTAGTTCAGCAGAGTTCGTCAACTCCCGTGACAGGTTCACAGTCGGTTCGTAGGCATCACACATCGGCTTTTCGGCTCCAGTAATGTTGACGGTGTTATGACAGTCGTGAACCGACTGGTGTTCGAAACACGACCGTTTACAAACCGGGTGCTTCAGTGATGTGCAGACCTATTGATTGCTAGATCTATCCAATTCTACGAGCGTCCGATTCACTTTCCTCTCATTCAGCAGCGACTGAATTATACCCAGTTTTGTAAATTTTTGGTGTAAGATGCGAATGGGGTTCGTGCACGCGACTATAATGTGCTGAAAGTTCATCCCTATTCCCTGGTTAAGTTTTGATATTTTCAGATGTTATCTTCCATGGCTTACCCATTAATGTCTCTTGGATTGACAAATGACGGCTGGCACAATTAAAACGATTCATTCATTTGTTTATACAAAATAGATGATTTTTATATGTAGGAGGCGGAGGGGGGTATTTTTGACCATTTAACCAGTGTCAGATCTCGAATATTGCCCTAGTAACATAGCAGAACTAATCCACCACTCTGCTAATTTGGATCAGTCTACGAGCAACTGGAATAAATCGGATTAGAATTAACGCATCTCAGAAGGCATTTCGCCAGAAATCTGAGAACATTCAAATTCAATATTGAATATATGTATGCATATTTTCACACACGTCTGAATCCATACTGTGTGCCAAACAAATCATGGTAAAATAATCTGTATGTGAAAGA